TCTTAATTGGAACCTGTGCTGTCAACAATGGGACCGTCAGCAGGAAGCAATCGCTTAGAGGCGAACAACTTTGACGAACAGGAGAGCAATTGTGTTTCATAGGATAACTTCAGGCCACACACACGAAAGGCTCGCCTGTTTCGCTCTATGGTGATTTTTTATGATTTTGGCCGTGAAAAATTCGCCGTAGAATTATACCAAGCCAATGTGGACTCGTCCAATCCAAATACCTTCTTAGCTCAAGAACTTCTGTAATTGAAACCCACTTTTTGTTTCATTTTATAAAATTATCAGTAAATTTTCGACTTTACTAGCATTTGGCCAAGCATTGAAAAGTTATTTTCGGGCTTAACGGGTCTAATTAGCTCAAATATACTTATAAAATATTAATTATAACGAAATTTTTATAATTTTTATAAAAACAATTCCGTTTCATAAGTTTTGTCTGACCACCAGTGTACTTTAGACTCATATGCGTGTGCTCACCAAAGTATTGCCTCAAAGGATGTATGGCTGACACAATACCTTTACATCCTCTTGGAAACACGGCGATGAGTCGAATCACTAGTTTTCGAAATTTTTTCCAATGAAATTTGAAACCATTCAACAAATTAAATGCTACAGACCAGAAAAAAAAAATACCAAAATCACAACAACAACGCTACGAACGCGACGATCCAACATCATCAACGCTGTTGCTGTAGTTGTTGGTTGATAATGGTTACTTGAAGCTGGTGCAACAGACAGACATTTATGTTTGCGTGTATATGTTTAGCCACTCCAAGCTATAATGTTGATCCATATAAAACGGCAGTCATAAATATTGGGTAACGCAGCTCCAACCCCTAAATCGATCGTTTATAATCTGTGCGCGGGCGCAGCAATTACCAGCGAACGCATGGATATTTTCTACCGTGTTTTTTTCAAAATTTTTTCTTTCTTAATTTTGGAATTTGCTTTTATTAATTGTTGTTGCTACTCTGATGTGTTGCCTGTGTTGGGTTGTTGCTGTTTTTGAGTGGCTGCACATGTGCATCAGCGTCACCGTTCCATTTGCGCTCTCTAATGGTTTGTTGCACACGTTGCCGTTCCCACGGTTGCCACTTTCTTTTCTTCTTGAACGAGCAACAACAACTACAACTACTACAAGTCTGGGCATTCAAGGAGGTCGACATCAGGGAGGAAATGTATTGAAAGGAAATCATTAGATCAAAAAAAATTTAAACTAAATTGACAAATATCTGTAAAAAAAATAAAAGAAAGCCAGCAACAAGGACCTGCTGCACTGATTTTTAACGTTTTATTAATTGTGGAAAAAAGGGAGGTAAAATATAATATTTTTTAACATCCTGTCCAACAAGAATTAAAATTCACCAGGAATGGGAGATTCTGAAAACTTGATTCGACTTGCTCCCAATTAAGACTTTGAGAGATTGCTTGTTCTGGCTGCGTTCAACCATCAAGTTCAATAATGTTTACATACCACTCTTCAAAAAGTTTTCATCTGTCCCAATTTTAGACTGATCGATGAATATAGCTTACTTTAGGCGTTATCTCACAGTTTTATATACAAATATGGGTATATAGAGTAGGAGATTTAATTTTTGGAATCATTATGCCTTCAATAGGATATATAAAGTTCGCCACGAAGTTTGTAACAACCACAAGAAGGAGTCGGAGACCATATTAAATATATGGGTCATTCCATAAAAATTTAGTTTAAAAGTCTTTTTTCAAAAGTTGAAATTTTGAAAATTCATAGCTCCAAAATTTTTCATATTGAGTCGAAATAAAAAAAATACGTGTCCAATGCTTTGCCTCAAAGAATGCAAAAAAAAAAATTTTTTGTACAAAAAAAATATGTGAATGTAAATGTTCGATGGAATGACCCAAATACCTAGTATATATAAATGATCAGGCTGTCAAGATAAGTCGATTTAGCCATGTCCGTCTGACCCTCTGTCTGTCTGTATATACGTAAACTAGTCTCTTAATTTCTGAGATTTCGATCTTTAACTTTCCTTTTCTCCCCAAGAAGCTGCTCATTTGACGATTTCGGATCACTATACAACGGTAAAAAAGCTACTTCGAATATTTGGGTATTTCAAACATATTGATATTTGTTTTTATTTTGTAATCTTTGAAGAAGTTGATCGAGGGATATTGTTATTCATCAGAAGGTAGAGAAGGAAGCATAAAACTATATTTGAAGCAGAATACTGACTGAAGTATAGACAGAGCTACAGTACCCTTTGGAATCTTATTGTAAAGATATTGATATGAAAGATACTTAACCAAGATATCGAACCTAAACGATATGCATTTGTAGTCATAAGGTCGTAAGGATATAAGATGATTGGTCCTACTGGCTCACGTGTCTTTGCCATCAAACTTCAGATTTTATTTGCATTAGATGTGTTTAAAATTTTAATAAATTTCCAAAAACATTTCGAGTACTATTTAAGTATTAAAACCCTTTGAAAACCTCGTTGATAATAAATAGGACCATCACAATATAACATAAAGATTAAAATAGAGAATTGTCCGCTGTGAAAAACCACTGAGAGCTCAAGTTTGGTCTCGATGTCCACGAAAAGAATAAAACCCCCACATTTCGTAGGCGAAACAAATGATATTGAGGAACTATTAAATTTTGAAAGTATATATATTTCAATAAACTCAATATGATAAGTGACACATAAATATATTTTAAAGGTAATGCTTTTATCGAGAAGATAAATGTATCCAGGACCTTTAGATTTCAACTTTATATACTTATATATGTATGTATAAACCACTTGCATACGCGAGTCCTTATAGAATTTTATTAATTTTTCCTGAATCAAAATCGCCCTCTCCATCACTTTCGACAACACAACAGTAAATAAATATCAATGCGACTGGAACAAAGCTATTGTTTTCATATATACAATATATGTGCATACATATGTATTACAAAATGTGCCCGAACTACTCACGTATCCTTATGTGTCTAATAACATAACATGACATTAACAAAAATTCTCAAACAATTGCAATGATTGTCGAGCTGCAATGAATGAATTAAATCCTTTTATTATTTAGCTCATGCAGGTAATAAATTAGGGGACAGACATATGTATATGTAATAACATTGATACTTTTAGAACTCTCTGACTCTTTCATAGAGAGATGTGCGATAGATAGCTAATACTAATACTAATACTTATTAACAAAATAGTATCACATGTCCTAAGACAGATTTTATTTGGCTTTACAAATTAAGCATCCAGTTAAAATAAAAAATGTATCACTAAATTTTTTTAGCTGATGGTTGTTATGTTACAATTATGTAATATGAAGTACATTAAACGAAACTGATATCACTAGTATTGAAAAGATTTGAAAATAACGGTTGCCTTTTAATAATTATAATAAAAAGTTTAAACGAAACAGAGATATTCTGGATTTATCTTCTTTTTCAGTTTTCTATACAAAAAGTAAAGCTATCCCTGACCTAACTGAGTGGAGTCTTTTTCCTCTTTTTATTACACAATCGGGAACTCCTTTTATACTGAGCTGAGACAATAATAAATGCCCAAAGAGAAGTAGTGGAATTCTGTTTACCGTAAACGAGTTCACCTCACAAGTCAACGTGAATTTTTTACTTAATATATCTTGTCAGAGATTAATTTTATTTCTTCTATATGTGATCTTCCCTATAATAAATATAGGGCCGTACCAGACATCTCAGAACTCTAAGCTATCCCTTCCCACAAATGATTTCTTTGTGCACAATATATACAATAATATCATAAACTCTTCCCTATCGAAAATGAATAAACTGGTCACCTTATTGAAATCTCTACCCATGTGTCGTACTTGGCAGCACGTGGCAGCCAATTAAAAATATACCTAGTATCACACAAAAGCACAGCATACTTTTAGGCTCAGAGTAAGAAAATGTTAATAGAATAATAATCCGTTAATAAAAAATTTAAAAGACACAAAAAAGTAAGGATAACTAGAAAATAGAAGAAAACCGATTGTAAAAATGTTTTGCAAATATCTATAAAAATATACAACAAATTTTAATTTTCAAATCAGCAGTTGATTTGGCGAAATTCTGGACGCTTGCAGACAAATATTTTTAACAAATTGACAAATATACTCATAAAAGGGGATAACTGGAATTAAATCACAGTAGAAATATGTTAAGCAACATATTTTCATATAATTTATGCCATATAAAATTATTAATGTAAAGTACAAAGAATTCGGGCGCTAGGGATAGATATGAGCCGATTTATACATATTTCAAAGAAAGCTGACACATATCACTAGTACTTCTTAATGATGCTACAATCGAGGTTCAGTTTTAAATATGTACATTGTATAGCCGAATCACCTGATTATGTTCGGAATTACATTATACACAAAATAGACCCAGTTGTGGTTCGATTACTTTTAATACATTATCTTTTTCACTATTCTATAAAATATACCAACAATACGTCTTAAACTTTAATGTACTCACCGCTCTTGTTCTGCAATTCTTGTCGTTAAGTTTTTAATATCATGCGACACGTGCAATTTTCTTACACTTTTTTCGTTATGAATACTATATTACCAGAGAACTTATAACAATTTGTTGTATTGATATTATTTTGCACTTTACTATTAGCACTTATTTACTTTTTTACTAAGATATTTTTTAAAATTTTCATAATTACGATATTCACTTTCACGATTTAATTAAAACTTTTTATTAGAATGTCATTAGAACCTTTAATATCATTTATTTTTCCTCCACTGCGCACTTTCCTTTTCAATACAAGCGATCAACTGTTCACTCGTCTGTGCGCAATTGGTAAACGCAACATATAATGCAATTATTACAGCCGAAGTCACTTGCAGTTGTAGCAATGACATAGTAATGTAAAGTGATTTTTTCTATCATGACACATATTTTGTGCACATGTTGTTACATGCAATTGCAAATGACTTCGGTGGTAGCGCGTGTTTCAAATTATGCTGCATTTACCCATTGCGCACATAAAAATGACAATTGGAGGTAGTAAACATTCAACTCCTCGCGATTCCGCACTGTTTATAGTGCGCAGTGAAAAAAAGTAAAGAATATTAAACTCTTCTAAGCATCTTGTAATAAAAAGTGTTACTTATAATGTGGAAGTGAATGTAGAAAATGTGAAAAGTGATAAAAATATTATAGCATTGATGTGAAAATTGTGAAATATTAATCAATATAATCTTTAAAGTAAATAATGTAAGAGAAATGTGCACATATCGTATAATATAAAGTGTAAAGAGAAAATAGTGATAGAAAAGTGCATGTTATCGCATGATATAAATATAGCCTAACAACAAATACCGAATAAGAGCGGTGAGTACATTACAGTTTAAAACACATTGTTTGTACATGTCTACTAAACTAAATATTCATGTTGATGCATGTTTACGAAATATGGTACATGAAAAGCTGGTATGGACATAAAGAGCGCAATGATAAATGGAGACTGCATCGATTTCAAAATTTTTTGTCTTCGAAAAGTTTAAAAAAGTATTAAATATTTTCCTACTTAAAAAAATTGTCCAAAATTTTCATAAAAAAACCCAAACAAGAAGTAAAAGATTTTCAAATAGGGTTGCCAACTGCTCAAAATTTTTAGTTCATAAATATTTATAATATTAACAAATTATTGCCAAACTGTTGCTTATTAAAAATCAATTCAATAGATTTGAAATATTTTAATATGGTTATCAAACTAGAAAAGTTAATGAAAACTTTCGGTTGCATACAATTTTTAAGAAGGGATGAAAATTGTCCAAAAGTTATGATGCATTAAAATTAATAAAATAAACAAATTAATACAATATGAATAATATCATATGAATAGAGGCGTTTGAGAAAGCCATTGTCACTTATCTAAAAACATAGTTCTATAAAATCTAATTATTGCAATATAAATATCAAACTAGCGATGTTTAATAAAGCTTTATAGTTTTCAAAACGATTTGTCATCTTTCGAAAAAACCATAATTCAATAAAACTTTTATTATTTCGATAAGGGTATCAAACTAGAGACGTATAAGAAAGCTTACGGCTGCAAATAATTTTTAAGAAGACCAAATTAATATTTTTTATTTATTTATTATTTTTTATATATACATATATACACAGATATTTTATATTTCTTTTTTGATATTTCAACATCACCACAAATCTTATTAACTATTAACTAGACTGCACATTTACATGTTTCTTTGTTTCTGATGTTTATGTTATGGTACCATGGTGCATAAAGGCAAGCATTGATATTTTTGAAATTTTTTATAAAAAATATGCACACACAATACCAATAATTATAACCATTTTTTAACTTTTAAATACATAGTTTTACTTAGAGAGTTCTGCAATATCACAATAGCAATAAAAAAGAACTAATAATTCACATATTATAAATACAAATAACTATAGGTGCTAAGTAAATGAAATTATTTTTTATCAAAAAACTATAATACCAAAAATCTTTAAATAAATTTTGATTATACAAAATTGTGCAATATTGCAACACTATATTGCACTATTTCTTCTTTTTATAATCCTCCGTAAATCCATAAGTGTCCGCCACTGTAAGAAAAGATAAACAATTTATAAAGAATATAAAAAAATTGCAAAAAATTCCAAGTCTGCACTGCAGTCAATCAACTGCGTCTTACATTCGTAATCAGCTGAGTAGCATTCGAAGAAATCGCCCAATAGCTTGCCGGATGGCAGTTCCCAAGTGCCAGTGCCGCCGTATTTCACAGGCAGCGCATTCTTATCGACATGCGACGTCAGTGACTTCCAGTCCCTACCGTGGAAGAAAATCTAGAAACAAAGAAACCGACGTTTTATTGAAAATAGAAATAATAATTTTAGTTGTTTTCATTAATGCCTTACCCGCTTCCTCAGCTTCTCGCGTATGAACGGTTTGAAGATAGCGAACAACATATTGAATATATAAGAATTATTTACAATATGCACCGCCTTGAGACGCATACAAATGCATTCTTGCACATAATCCAGCAACATGGCGGCAAAGGATGGTGTAAATTGCATAACATGACTCATGGGTAGGCCCTCCATATCGATAATTACTATAGCGCCACAGATTTGTGAAAGTGGTTCAGCCATGGAGCCCAAGACCTAATAGGAGATATGAAAGTGTATATTCAATTAAGATCAATATTTGAAATAAGATATGTTATGAAACTTACTGTCAGTTGTATGGTGCGGAAGAGATCGACCAGTGGGGCACGAGAGGGTTTCCATTTCTCTGTAAAATGAAAAATATTAATTATTTAGTTTAAGACGGACGGCTCTTAAAACAGTAATTTAATGCCCTCAAATTGTCTATCTTTCTATGTTTAAAAGCACCTTTATCGGAACGGTCAAAGGCCCCGAGCTACTACTTATATAAGACTAAAATACCCGGTTAATTGTTCTAACGATTCATTCATATTTATTCCAACGATTCATTCAAATCTCATATTATAAAGAAATATGGCAATCGAGTACAATTTATTAATATGTATATATATAATTCGAAACCCTGGTAATCTTGCTTGTTCTACTCACTTCCTGCTTCAATAGCGAGAATTCGACGTCCATGTTGATCTCTGTTTGGAAATAGCGCTAATATGTCCTCTTCAAAAACATTACGCAACTTACTAGGCACGATATTCTCACAGGGGGCGCCATATTTCGATTTCATGTGATAGAAGTTTTTGAGCTGTTAATAAAAGATAGTAATATTTAGAAATGTTGTATAAAAATATTGGCTTAGGTATACAATGTCAAAATTAGATGTCACATGAGCATATTTTCGCCCTCACTTACTCTTTTTATCGCCGATTCTGGATAGTAATGGCATGGACGCAGGAACATTTTCATGTATTCGTCATCCAAAGGCAGCTTCAAGTGCTTTTCCTCTGTTATAATATGAAAAATGTGACAAAATAATTAATATATACTTATAAGCTTTCAAAGTTATTATATAACACATTTGTTTTTCAACGTGCTTCAAAAACTATTTTTTTTTGTTAATTTGGGTAGAAAAATTTTTTTTAAAACAGAGTGTTCACCCAAATTTACACACTCAATTCTTCGAAAATGAGCATTATAAAAGTTTTGATACAAATTTCTTGCATTTTTTATTGCATATTATGTAAACACATCTCATATTACATCAAAGCTTTCACCAAAGTTTAAAAAATGAATTGCTTCTATTGTTGCTTTCTAAGTTATCCAATTGTTTCATTTAAACTTTCACTTAAACTTTCAAAAGTTTTTATTCACTGTATTAATATTTTCAATTGAACATTCTAAAATTGTTTAATAGTAAAGCTTTCATAGAAATTTAAGAAAATAAAGCTAAATGCAAAGAAGCTTTCACACTTACCTTCAATTAACTCGCGTAGCTTTTTGATAGCTGGTTCCATTATTTCCGGCAACTCGCGTAATTCTTGACGCGCCTTCTCCAAAGCCCATTCTGGTGCTTCTTCTTTCTCCATACGTATAGTCGCTGTACCCAAATCGATATAAGGCACTTGATTATCGTCATACTGTATGCTCTCGGCCTTGACCATTTTGCGAGCAAATTTGTTCCGTTTATGGTAGTCGAATCAAGTAACTGCAAGTGAAAGAAGTCAGTGGTTATCTAGTCATTAATTAGTTAATTGAATATATACTTGATTATATATTTTTAAATTATATTTATTACTTTTTTAAGTGTAATTTCAATACAAATAATCAGCCACCCTATAAAATTTCTAATTATTAAATTATATACTTGTAATGCAAAAAGCTCGCAATAAATTCACTTTCTGTAGAAATACATATGGTACATGTCCATATGTAATCTATGGCTCGATGTAATTGTAACGCTGTCATTGCTGTTGATTTAATAGAAACAAAGCAAACAATTAAATAATAGAACAAGTGAAACCAGCGATCAGGTGAATACGAGTACATAATATAATTTATAAAATTTGCATACAACGACATATAAATTTTTATTTATTTTCATATTATTTTCATTTATTGTAGTATTGAGATTTTTAAATCAAAAGTTTTATTAAGTAGAGTACAGTCCACAAACAAAAATATTTTACTCAGATATTTTTATGCACATATTTAATAAATTCGCATGTCAACATATTCTGTTCAAGTTTTTTAAGCTACCACACACCTCGCTGATATATTGATATTCTCGGAGAAGTTAAACATAATATTTGCACTAAAATTACCGCATTGGAATTGAAATTACAACAACTATAAATCAATTCAACATACGTCATTGTTTGTTTATAATTTGATACGTTTCGAGCTTGTTTTTTAAATATTTATACGATAATTCGTATGTGCTCGAGTATTTACATATGTAGGTAGACATTACGGTGGGTCAAAAATCCGAATTTTTTTTTCGCTTGGTTTTCTGAAAGCTAGGTATTTAGACACCTTCTAAAAAAATTTCTCTTTAATTGTATTGGGAAGGCCCTCTGTCTCTTACAGTTTTCTATTTGTTTGTTATTATCAGATGGATATATATATATCACTTCCAACTACTTGAACATATATATTTCGTTTAGACTTTGAAGGAAATTGAATGCTCTTTAAAGATATTAACGGTTAAAATTCGGACTTTGATCATATCAAGCAATTTTTGCAAAATTTAAATTTGAGAAAAACGCGAAATTTGAGATAAACTGATAGTTGAAGGATACTTTTAAAAGATGTAAATTATTAAAATATGAAAAAAAATCGTTATTGTTTTTCAAAATGAGTGAAATTGGACTTCCCATTTGTCGAAACCGACAAAGGTGGAGTCGGTATTCCAAAAACAACGAACCAATTTCTTACTCAAAGCTGCTATTTAGAGCCCAATCGCTTGAAATAAGTATATCTCAACCTGATCTAGTTCTTAATGAGTGTTTTTCAGAACTTTTTGAGTGAAACTGACCTATAGGTAAACTTTCATATTCTTTTAAAGTCCTCAAATACGAAGGCATGAACCCTATTTTTTATAGCAAACTCAAAGGAGCACTGTTAGTAATCTGTCGAATTCATATCCCTTCTCCAAACGTAGTTTTGCATAGAAAAATCTCTGATAAGATCCGTTAGTCATTTTAAATCGGCTTAATAGTTGTAGGTGCCTCAATTAGGAAAGAAGCTCATTCAAACTTTTGTTATATAGTATCAAATTTATGTTGATTGATAACTTTAAAACAAGCATTGATAGAATTTAAAAACATACTCTACAAAAATAAAAGCAAAGCTTTAATAAGCAATCATTCTTCCGAAACACAAAGCACAAATAAAACTGAAACTTAATTGTATAATATTACAGAACCTGCTTAACAGAATATTTTAATTGACCGTATACAAATTGTTGTATACATACCTAGCGCAACTCAAATCTGGTTAGTCCCTATCGTATAGCAATTACACATTAAACGCTTTATTTCTATGTACAAATCCAGTGTTGCTCAAAAGCATTAAAAATCGTTAAACGTAAATATTAATTATATATACTATATATTTAAGTTTTCATCAATATTGCGATTAAAGGCAGGCGACATTTTTAATTGCCTGTTCGAGCGCAGCAAATTATAAAGTCAAACAGGAATATTAATAGGTAGCCGCCGAAGTGTGTTGGTACATAGGTACATATGTATCCAAAATCGGTACTACAATTGTCGTTTAATTGAGACTTTAAATTCATAATCGTACATATGTTTGGGTGTATGTGTGTATCTATATGTGTTAAGTATGGAAATATATTTTTTCATACATTTTCTAGAATTATGTAATAAAAAGGCATATCCCTACAAATGTATGTCTGTTATGTCGGGTATACACTTGCATATGTATGTATGTGAAAAACAAATGTGCTTTTTAAGTGCTCTGTGCGGCGGCAAATGATATGGCTCACACACACCTTTTTAACTGCAGCTACATACATACATATATATGTACATATAAATGACTATAAAGAGATTTTAAATTGCCCAAATCTGCATCTTAAGTATAATTTTTATTTTGTTTTTTATAGATGGCAATTTCTCGGTTCACTTTTTCCTCAATTTTTACTCGACGTGCTTGTTTACTAAAGTGCACATAATTAAAGTGATAAAAAGTAACTGGCATGCATGCATATGTTACACACATACATTCTCATAATGCACTTGAAAACAAATGACGCAGAGGATTTAGAAAGCAGTCACAATAATAAGTGGCAATATATGTGCTTAGATTTATTTACGAACATAACATATAATGTTTTAAAAGAGGCTTTGACCTTTCAGCGAATTGACCAAAACACAAAACGGCAGTGTATTTAACTGTACCGAGTGGCTCATTAACAGAATAACACGGATTCAACTATATTCTAGCTCCCATAGAGAAATTAAATAAATACTATTATATTAATGCTACTAAGCGTCCCCGGAATATCCCCCTTTATCTCTTTCGATTTCGCTACTAGTACCCGTAAGAATATGTTAGAGAAAATAACAAATGTTGTGACTTCATACGGTTCTAATCCATATTCGTTCCTATAGATCAACTTGAGCGCAATTTTTATAATTATTCTAGAAACCAGAACCTTTCAACTTTCGGAGAACTATAATTGCTGCCATGTAGTTCTTTAAAACCTTTTTAAAAGTAAAACTTTCCCCATCACATAGTTTTGATTTTTGTTACTGATTCAACTCAGACGCAATTCGGGTGAAAATATGGTATTTGACAATATGATATGAACCAATAGAGGCAATGAATTCGATTTTACTAAAATACTTAACTTTAGCGGCACCTAGCGGACTTAAGTTTCCTAGAAGCACCGTCCGCTTTTCGTTATGACTTCATTAGAGTTTAGTAAAGTACATTCAGTGGCTTGGGAAAATATAATTTTATATTATGCAGGGTGTTCTTTTTAGAGGCATTGTACTTTCTAAAGTAAAAACAGTCAAAAGCTACTTACATTCTGTTATAGTGTCTATGCCGAAGCGATTATTTGTCTATTGTGATCGCTACATTAAGAATAAATCGTAACTCCAGTAAGAAGGAGAAAGTACAATATAAAAAGTCAAATTTTACCTTAAAGTGTTTAAAGAAATATATTTCAAATCTTCAGATTTTTTCTAAGGTAATACATTGTCATTGTGCTGCCGTGTCAGCACACTGTTGTGGCAGAGCAAAAGCGGTGATTGGCGAATAAGGGCTAATTCCACGGTTGTGCATTTTTTAACTCATAATTTTAGGTTAAAAATAATATTTTTAACTTTTAGCTCTAATTTTGAGATTAAAAATTAAATATTGAATTTGAATTCCAATTTTGGATCATTGTTCCTTCCCAAGTCTTCTCTTGGTTGTAGAAAACAGGTTATTCATTACTTATCTACAAGTAATTAGCACTAAAGGATAGGAATCGATTTCGCGTGATTTTTAAGTTATTAGTTAACAACAATTTGAGTCATAAGCGTAACGCTTGCCGTTGGCATCCGAAAGTCATAAATTCAAAGTGGAGTTGAGTCATATACCATAAATTATGGCAAAGTCTACTAACAACATTATTTACTACTCCACATACTATTGTTTACAAACATAAACTAAGTATTTAGATTATTTATATAAATTCACCACCATGGAGTATTTGTATTTTTACAACAATTTGCAAGTTTAAAGCGTTATTAGCTTAAATAATGACAAAATAATAATAATGCTTGTCAATAGAAAGCAATATACAATTGTTGTAATGTTAATTGCTGAAATGTTAACTTCCGTTGTTTTAGTTTACACTAATTACTGATTTTTCACTACTTAATTCTTATAAAGTTAAATTTTTATATAAATTTTTTTAGTCAAAATGATTATATATACATATAATATAAAACATATAATAGTTTTATTTTAATTAACTCTAAAATTGTCTAAATTTTTATTGTTGTATGAAATTTTTTGGCTAAGCAATTTATATTCTGAACCATGCATAGCACTGGAGAAAAGAACTCTGGACTTTGAAATGAACCACTTTGTATTTTATTTGTGAATGAGGAAAGGTAATCATATACATTTAATACTAAATATCTAGGCTATGTAGCAACATTACGGATGTCCTTTTAAATAATATTCTCGTATAATAATATATAAAATCATAATAAAATATTGAAAAATAATAATAATTGTTATCAAATATTTATTTTATTCTTATACAGTTATTTTATGCAAAAATAGGCAGCTAAGGTCGAAAAAAGTAGAATGAATATGCGATTATCAAACAATATTTCTTTATTATTTCTTGATTTCTTCTTCTTCTTACTAAGAGTTACAATTTTTTATATCTGTTTCAATATTTGTTTTGCTATCAATTGAATATTCTTAAACATTTTTATGGAATCTCCAAATCTGAAAACTTATTTATCAACAAAATTTTGATTTCAAAAAACCGTATCCAAAATATTTGTTTTAGAACTAATCTTTTAAAATTAGGGCGATTATGACCATATTTTAATAAAGATGGCAGTTAACTACAAAATTTTACTAAATTTGTGTTGAAATCAGCTAAAATGGACTGCTCTGAAATTACCCTACGATTACAACAGCAAAGTTTTATAATGTGATATACATTATCAC